TCATTGAACCCACTAACCAATTCATGTTTTAAAGAAGGTCTATTGGTCACTAGTCACATTTTACATCACGTTTCACAACATTTAACCCAATACACAACAAAAGACAATGTTCTCTCAAGATAATTAGCTTCTCACACTAGTTTCCCTTTGGTCACTGAGCATGACTTCCTACATTAAAACCAGATCTCATTAACAATGACGTTAACAGAGCTGTGAGATGGAAGAGAAACGTGTCACCTTATGCATGAACAGTGATGAACTAGTCGATTCATGAGAGTTTTTGCAATTACTGCATTGCCTCTTTCATGCCTCTCATTTTCTGTTTATTTCAGCAGTCCACAAGTTATCTATAATTAAGACATTTGGATATCTGGGACCTGATGGCTAAATGTATCTACAAATGGTTACCCAAATTTACCACTGAGACACAAATAGTGTCTTTTCCATGTCATCTGATAGTCTATATCTGATGGAGTCATACCCTCCCCTTATTTGGTCCTTACTACATACAGTATATAAAAATAATGATTTCATATTTATTTTGTGGTACCTTCCTTTTATGTTACCACATTAAATACAATTAAATAAGTAAAATAACATTTATATTCAGATTCAGACTAGCAGTACAGGAAAACCAGATTATATTTATATTTGCTCTTATGGAGAGCAGTTTTGCTGACACTGATTTGTTTGAATTGGTTTGTAGAGGAAAAGCAGATCTGTAGAGAGCTTTTTGAAGATGGGTGAAATCCATGTTGGGTTTCCTCTGGTTCTTCAGCTTCACCTTGTCTTTTTGGGAGTATACTGTACATCTTGCTCTTTTAGTGCATGCCATGTACAGCTCAAAGGGGTCAAAGGAGCCCCGGGGTCATTCAGTTTGCAGAATTGATTTGGTGTGTCAGCTACTAATGACTTCAAAGAGCAAGCATGGTTTTGTGAAAGACAAGACTGTGGTTTCTCTTTTTGTTCTGAGTGGCAGAAGGGCAAGAGGGAACTGGGTTTCTGATCTTCAGGGTGACAAGTTCAGAGCCAACAAGAAAAGTTTTTAGATGCTGTTTGAATGTGTTTTTGGTACTTTGGTACAGTATCATTAGTGATGTAACATACAGTGCAGTTTTGACATCCAGAGTCATCGGTTAGTTGTAAAGTGCACATGCTGTCTTAAATGTCATGTGTTTGTAAATAGGTGTAATCAGGACGGTGTTGGAATTGTCCTCCTCATGTCTATTGCCGTATCCAAAGTATATTTTGTTCTGTCCATCCCATTTGGAATGTGTGCATCATTTTCCCAATTTCCCTTTATCGCCAGCTGCATTCTTTGCCTGCTTCCATCCGGTGTTGACATTTACTGTGTTACAGCCTGATAGCATTCCAGGGAGAGCTGGCACAAAACACACCAGCTGCTCCCAACAATCCCATGTGTGTGTCTGTGTGTCTGTGTGTCTGTGTGTCTGTGTGTCTGTCTGTGTGTCTGTCTGTGTGTCTGTCTGTGTGTCTGTCTGTGTGTCTGTCTGTGTGTCTGTCTGTGTGTCTGTCTGTGTGTCTGTCTGTGTGTCTGTCTGTGTGTCTGTCTGTGTGTCTGTCTGTGTGTCTGTCTGTGTGTCTGTCTGTGTGTCTGTCTGTGTGTCTGTCTGTGTGTCTGTCTGTGTGTCTGTCTGTGTGTCTGTCTGTGTGTCTGTCTGTGTGTCTGTCTGTGTGTCTGTCTGTGTGTCTGTCTGTGTGTCTGTCTGTGTGTCTGTCTGTGTGTCTGTCTGTGTGTCTGTCTGTGTGTCTGTCTGTGTGTCTGTCTGTGTGTCTGTCTGTGTGTCTGTCTGTGTGTCTGTCTGTGTGTCTGTCTGTGTGTCTGTCTGTGTGTCTGTCTGTGTGTCTGTCTGTGTGTCTGTCTGTGTGTCTGTCTGTGTGTCTGTCTGTGTGTCTGTCTGTGTGTCTGTCTGTGTGTCTGTCTGTGTGTCTGTCTGTGTGTGTGTCTGTGTGTGTGTCTGTGTCTGTCTGTGTGTCTTTGTGTGTGTGTCTGTGTCTGTCTGTGTGTCTTTGTGTGTGTGTGTCTGTGTCTGTCTGTGTGTCTTTGTGTGTTTTTGTGTGTGTGTACTCTATCGGCAGTGGCTGGCTTTGGTTCCAAACACTGGACACTCTCAGGGTTTTATTTTTGCCTGGCTCTCAGAGCAGCGGAGGACTCCTCAGCTGTCAAGCTCCGGTCTTAGAAGCACTTCCTGCGAGGTGGCAGCGCTTAGGGTTTATGATGTAATGCGAGTAGGGCACAATCTGGGCATTGTATACCACACTATTGCCACTGTGGAGGCACTGCTGCGTACAGCCCTGTATGTGCACACATGTCCTCCTATTCCTGTTTTTTTTAGGGATCAGGGTTTAGGGATCAGGGATTTCGCCTGGATCTGATTGTCTTCATTTAAATTAGATTTAAAAATACAGTTGAATGTAAAAATACATACAATTAAAAATGTTTAAATGTTTATATGAAGAGTTCAGATGCAAAAGCCTCTAAGTGCCATCTGAAATTTTCATCTAAAATGACCATTTTTATAAAGCTCCTATATTTATGTTCAGTTCTTTCACTTTAAAGGGGTCATATGATGCTGCTAAAAAGAACATTATTTTGTGTATTTGGTGTAATGAAATGTGTTTATGCGGTTTAAGGTTCAAAAAACACATTATTTTCCACATACTGTACATTATTGTTTCTCTTCTATGCCCCGCCTTTTTGAAACGCGTCGTTTTTACAAAGCTCATCGGTCTGAAAAAGCGAGGTGTGCTGTGATTGGCCAGCTATCCAGTGCGTTGTGATTGGCCGAATACCTCAAGCATGTGACGGAAATGTTACGCCCCTCACCATACTGTTGATGCCGTGTCCCGGCCGGAGCGACGAGACAAAAACATTAAAACCCATTACAAACGAGGCATTAGTTGCATCCAGTGGGGACATAATTACTGATTATAATGACTTATACTGTCTTTTTACGC